CCTGTTCAACCATCGTGTGTCATGTTTTAAACAACATCTCAGTAACCACTGAATCTGAAACCTCACACTCTTGTTCCCACCAGTGATGACACCACAATGTAATTTAAAGAGCAAGAAGGGAAAGGATGAGGACTATTTTTTATGGATATACAACTTCTTTATTCTGGCGATGTTTCGACATAGATTCTAAGGTCGTTGTCAAGCAGACGACATTAGAATCTATGTTGAAATGTCGCCTATACAGAATAAAGAAGTTGTATATCCATAAAAAATAGTCCTCATCCTTCATCTACCCAACTTCTAGAATGCCAATCAAAGAAGCAACAAGGTAGCTACTAGTTTGTTAAAAAAGCTATATATGACCATCACTGTAAATGGATCTTATAAATGGATGGAAACTTTATACATCATTAGTAATGGGATTCAACATAAAATGTTGAACTTCTTGAATGTTGTCATCATTCTTGATGGAACTTTTGACAGTCTTGACTTCTCAGAAATGGGTGGTGGTGGTGGAATTGGGTTTAACGTTGTGCTTGAGAATATTTTGCTCATATGATGATGTGCATGCGTGTGTATGTGTATGTGCGGCTGCTTGTACTAGCCCAGACTGAAGCTGGTTTTATAGTGCTAGCCCACTGAGATACCATGCCGCAGTGAAGCATGAATACCCCACTCAGACACATTCTGAGCCGACCAGACCTTGTTGTTCCCATTAATGCCGAACGCCAGGCAGGCACCAACAAGTACCATATTTTAACGTCTTTTGGTATGACGCGGTCGGGGATCGAACCCGCGACCTTCCTCACTCTCGGGCGGACGCTCTAACCATTACACCATGGAGGCGGTCCAGAAATGGGTGGAGAGATTCATCTGAAATTTGTTTGGATTTCTGATTGAGGGTTTAAGGCATCAAATGAAATTTCTAAATTCTCTGAAAATTCAATTTCTCTCACTGTAAGCATCATCCTCAGAACCACTTGAGCCTTGAAGTTGAAATGTCTCATTTGTTCTTAAAATGAGGACAACCCCCTTTGTTCAAATCCAATTTTTTGTGCTTTTTATTTCTGCTATTTTCATTCTTGTTGTTACAGTTTAGTGTCCTCCATTTCTCTAGTATTTATGCTAATATTGGACTATCAATGCTAAACGATCTTATGTGTCTGTCCTTGTTGACACTGTAAACTGTTGGCTGCATGTCCAGATGAGATACAGAGCTGTGGCACTATTTGTTTGTTATGATTGTTGAGTTAGTTTTTTGTGGTTTCTTCAGAAAATGCACTATTATCATCCCCCTAAACATTCAATGCAGATCAGTGATTGTAGGAACCACAACACAAATGTGGAGATGGGATTTGGGTTACGTTGCACATTAACAGTCCCGAACAAATGTTTGTGTTTGAGAAGGTTTTGGTACAAAAGTTTATTTAATCACTGCTCACTGTCAACCAATGATCAAGAAATTGTTTTGAGACATCATGGTATTTTCTGCTAGTTCCCTAAACATGTGTACTTCTTCTTAAAACTTTAAAAGTCGTGAGTTTTATTCAATGTAACATTTATATCTTGTTCAAAATGTGACAGAATGTCCATATTTCACAAAACAAGAATCACCTAGAATCTGGTGTTCTTCAGCACATCGGCAGTTAGATTGTATGTATGTTATAATTGTTTATGAGGCATCGATTCAGCATGTTGTGAAGTGACAACCTTGTGTGATCCACCTCCAATTCCAGGATCATCAGGAAGTAGGCTGCCTATTTAACAAGTTGTAACTGTCTTATAAGAATGGTTTAATTAAGCCTATTTCTTGCTGTAATATTGTTTCAGATTCGTCCAAAGTAATGTGCTGGTAGGAAACATAATGTCAGACATTCTAAATCAGTATTGAACGTCACTGGTAACTGATTTGAAGCCTTTCTTGGTGAATATTACAGTTTCCCATGTTAGAGCTTTAAACAGATTCATTTGTTATTCATCCAAGAGATTCACTTCATTTGCCAGGCTTCAAGGAATAGATAATGTGGTGCTAGACACAAGCAGGAGGCTGAAGTTGGTTCATAAATATGTCCATTCACCTGTGTGGAGTCCCATGGAGGTACACAGAAGCAAATGTTGCAAGGATGGTGTATGCAATAATGTGCTTACATGAGATGTGCTTACATGAGATGCCCTAAAGACCCAGCAACATAAGGAGTATCTTCATCACTGACTAACACTGATCATGATAAGCTATCACTTTTCATTATATTACTTACAGCTAAGAGAATACTGTGACCTACATTTATATATCTATCACATATTGTGAAACTATTTATGATGGAGTAAATTACTGCATGAATAAATATCCAAGAAACTATGCTGTGTTGTTTTATGGCCTTAATTTATTTTGATGCCCAGTGAAACATGTTTCTTTTTTCTGCAGAATTTTTTAGTGACAGCAAGAAAACAAAAACAGCTGTTTGACACATTTATTCAGAATCTATTTGCAAAATATGTGCTTCAGATCAAACTTATGAATTTGTGAAATGTCACCAACAAAATTTATATATGTAAACAAAACAATTTTACAACATGTTTTACAAAACAAACATTTAAATAATGATAAAAAAACTAAAACATCAGTATCTTAGTAATGATGCTGAAAAAAGCATGGAAGAGGGACAAATGATGTTCGTGAAATGTCTTGAACCATGGTGTGTTATAAAGAGGGAAAATGAGAAATGAAAATATGCCGTCTTCTCAATATTGATGATGTTTACAACTAAGGCTTGAAGATAAGAGCAACATAATACATGCATCCCTTTTCAACAGTTTTACACAGTTCAGAAGAATACACAATTGCCAAACTACACTTACAAATTGTATTACATGACATTAACAACTTACTGGAAAATATACACGAATCACAAATGTGAACAGATGTAATTGCTGTATTTAACTTTATCTTTGACATGCAAACTACGCTGGTGTTGAGGGCCTGATATACACTTTTCCCTCATATGCTGGTAGAGTTCAAAGTACACAATACCCTGCCATCATGGACTTGACAATTGCTTACTGTCAACCTACTTATGGTATCTCTCCATATATATGGTTACAGTCCTGTCCTACAGCCTGTATGATTGGCTTTAAGAGTACCGTGTGTATTTGAGCTGGAAATAGCAATCAGCTGTGCACACGTTTCCTGGTGAGCAAGTTCAAACATGCACAATAATATAACTGGATGAAATGTGACGCAGTCATCAGTAAAATATAATACAGAGTACTATTATTTAACCCAAAGAAATATATCCTAGCATTGTTTAATTTTAATTACAGTTTTTGCACTATAAATGTAAAATATATAATCAACACTAAGGTTATACGGACCCTCATGAACGTGGAAAGTTGTACGCACATGGAATGGGGTAAAATAAGCAAGCCATTTAAATTCACACATTTTTACCGATGTTACTGTAAACTAGCAGTCCATGGAAAACAAGGCGGTAATAAGCAAGCAAGTTTGTTGACATGTTATCGTAACTACAATATGTATGATATTTAGCGAAATAAAATCTATTATCCATTTTCTGTCAACTACACTTCATTTCGATGCGTGAGTAGACACAATATAATTGTGAATTTTTTTAATAATGTGGACCAAAGTTATACTTATTGGTAACCGTCAGTTGTCTGTGGTCTGTGTTTGCCGCGATTAGGACCCCATCACGGGGGGTCGGCTTATGCACGAAACATACCATTTTGACACCGATTTTAAGGGTCAAGTTTGGGGGTCGGCTTATAGACGGTAATATACGGTACCTTGTACAACTAACCATGTATATATTCAGTATTTATTTTACTGATTCTCGTATATAAATACCTGAATAAAGGGAAATATCAATGTTGAATTGTGCTATTTACCATATTTTCTACAGTTATTTGTGTTTTAGGTTTTAGCATCAGGAAAACAATCCAATGTCATTGTAACTTAACTTTTAAAAGAGTCTAGACATGGTTACTTATTGTTAAAGATGGGTTAATGATTAGCAAGCAGATCTGTGAAGGTAATTAAAAGTATCAGTGCTGTGTTGTTTTAATGCATCACAAACATACCAATATTCACATCCACATTCTAGTTGACTCGTGTGGCATGCATAATCCCCAAGGTCCTCTTTCTGGATGGATCACATGTGCATCGCTACACCGATAAGAGATGGGTTTTTTATTCTAGTGTATTTGTAAGATTTAACATTAACAGCACATAGTTTCAGCATAAGACAATAATTCAAGTGGAAGACATCTCCGAGATCAAAGAGTGAGTCAGTGTCTCTGATTTACAAATTCTTGATATTGAAAGTGCTTTAGAAATATGATTATATCACCGGAATTCCTCAGTGAAGTGTGCTCAGACGTGGGAGATTCTCTAAGTGGTGTGGGTTTGACTACTGACATGTCCTATCTTACATTATCAGGCATACCTTATCTCTAAACTGCAGAAGATGCTACCAGTACCAGTGTAGGAAAGATAGCCCGTCCCAACGTCCGAGACGGATGAATTTTGTGGAGGACGGGTTAAAAAAATATCTGGTCCGTCCTCATGTCGGGTCAATTTTAGCAAACCAATGACATATTTTATAAAGATTATAACCTTTTTGAATATTTACTGCCGAAGGTGTTTTATTTATATTTGGAGGACAGGCTAGATTTTGGCAGGAAAACATTTGACCTGCCAGTCCTGTGGACAGGCTAGATTTTCTACATCTTTCCTACACTGCCAGTACCCTTTTTATGGAACATAACTAAAAAAATAGAACTTGTATATTTTGTCTCCAAGTTTGCCTGAAGCATAACATTTCTATGTCACCATATCTACAGTTCCACCATGAATAATCCTGCTGACCATTTCAAATTCTTTCCTACCTGTAACATGATGCCTGATAAAGCAACAGAACACATGTACTTATACTGGTGAGGAATCCTCATTGAATACAAACGAAAACAGCAAGACCAGAGCATAAAACTACATATTTATATGTCCGTGAGGTATACAACTGGTGGAGGGATGGAACAGTGCTGTTTCCAAATTAGTCTCCATCTCCATCCATCATAGTCAAGTTCCATTTCATGTTAAATCACTGGTAGTGTTAACACATTGCCTTATTTAGCAATCCTGTAACTGACCTTGAGGTCGATGTTTGTTGTAACTTTTGTCAGGTAAATGTTTATGGTCAGTTAACATGGTTAAACACTTGTACTAAGTTGAACTGGTTCTTCCTGACTTTGCTATTCAGAAAGTTGAGCTGGTCATAGAATAATGGAGACCAAAGTGTGACACAGTCAGAAATGGACATTTCTTTGGTTGACTCTTATACACTGTAGACTACAACATAGACACAGGGGACACAATGCACACAGGTGTCCTAGCTTATACAGGTTACTGTAGGAAGCTGCCAAGTAGACATATGTCACAACACAAATAGTGCTAACCAAGGCCAGATACTGCAGTGCTAGTCACAGAACACTTATATCACATACATTGTTCCATCTCAGTTAAAGAAATGGATAATTCAGCAAATGGTGTGATCTTTTATGCAGACGTTTGGGTTCATAATGTAATAGTAATGCCAAATTATTTCAGTGCTGTTAATAGCAAACTATTGTGAATCTCAAGCTTTACCTTCCCTCTGCCATCACTAAGGTATGTCACATCAGTAAGTACATCATAATGGCATAAACAGTGCTACCAGTCACTCAGGCAATATAGTACACACTCAACACTTGCTTTAAGGTAACAGCTACAAATTTCTAGACAACATGCTCATCATTGGAACAAGCTGTTATTTATGCTCGTACACAATATATAAAGGTGTTATGTCCAAACATTTCAGATGTACTTTAAAACAGTAAGGGACGCTGTTGATCTGCCCTAGACTGAGAGAAAGCCAAGCTCAGGCCTGCAAACACACACCACCTTGAACACTGTTAATGGTTATCCTGCATCTTCCAAGTGAAGAGCTCTCACGTATGTCAGGAACACACTAGATGTACAAGACACATACACTCGGGTCAAGTTGGCTCTGGTCTTCGGGTCTGTACAATTCGAGGTCTGTTGGGGTCATTATAACCCTCTGGGTCTTCACAGATGTGGACAACGATGCCCGGTTGAGATTCTGATGGTGGGTGGAGTTCATGGGCTTCACCTGTGGGAAGAGGACACATACTGGTACTGTATGTTCATGTACGTTGTTCATATATAACATGTGCAAGTAAATTAAGGCTTCATGCCACTTGAAGCAATATTTCTTCCATACCATGGCAAGGGACTCATATAGACTTTGAACACTATAAAAATGTGAAGACGGAAACCTGGATTTTTGAGGTGACGAGTTTAAATAAACTACCAGACAGCTGCTATGTATGAACATACTGACACAAGGAATCCTACTTTTACAAACAGAAAAACATGATTTTGCATATGATGATAGGCATGTGAAGAGTTTGTATCAAATAAGCAGGCTAAAGCCTATATTTCCTGAATATCTCCATGAGAGACTCCAGATACCTTAACAAAATCACCAGCAATTTCAGTGTAAAAACATCACTAAGGGAAAATATGAGCGAAGCAGTACAACTCTGACACAAGGACTCTGTGCCTGGAACTTGTAAACAACAAAGCCCCTAGATACCTCTATATGAACTTTACACTCATTCATGGTTGAAATATATCCATGCATCTGCACTGCAACATTAAAACAGAAAGTTCCAATCAAATCATTTATTATTTTTGGGGTATAAATATGGTTCCTTGCTCTTGAAAAACATCGCATACAAACTCAGTTAATTCAGTACATGAAGAAGAAGAACTACTAACAACCATTCCAGTGTCTTTGACCTTCCATTTGATCAATCAAAAGCTTATTTACTTATTTATTTATTTATTTATTTATTTAGGTCAAATGTAGAGATAACATCATTATCAGGCAATATGATACACCAGGCCTTATCACCCATACTGCATATCCTGATCATGTTGAACATCAGTGCTTGTCACCGTCCATTAAACCATGTGGTTAATACTCAAGCAGTTGGTCTATGAACATGTGGACACTGTTTCAACAGCAGGGTGAACCTTGTGTGTTTTAGTAACCTGATACATTCTGTGTCTAGTTCCACATTGACAAGAATCTCTGGAGGGTGGGAGTTGTCATACCAATTACTGGATAACGCCTTTACTGCTGCTGAGAGATCCTAAAAGATAGCGACTTTTCTAACATTTGGCCTAGGACTATATTCATTCAAATCCCAACTCAAGAATGATATCCATATGAACTGAATACTTGTTCACATATCAGGAACACATTACTTTTATAAAGACCTTCACTGTGACAATCCCAACACATTAGTCTCTCATGAGCTTTTCCACACCCTTAGGATGCCCAAGTTTTGGGTTTCACTGTAAATCCTTTTCAAGTTTACAGAGATTTTAACATGATATGCCCTTGAGGATGGGTTGCAAATAGATGCATGATAAAATGAAAGTGCACAAGATCATTGAAATGTCAACATCACCTACTTCTGATTTTAGAATTACACACAATGTTGATGTATTTCACAGATCACACAAACCTTCTCAGACAGCTGCCTTGCCCAAAGGATGACACATGCCAAATCCACATTGATATCTACTGGAAACGCTTCTCAAACTATCGTTAATACAAACTTTCCTTCAGGCTATGACCTTGATAGTTACCTTGACCCATGACATGACTGGGGCAGAGACAACAGTCACATTCAGACAAAACCTCTCACATGAGCATGCTTTATTATTACATTCTCATTCACAATATTGTCTTTGAGTGAGTGAGTGAGTGAGTGAGTGAGTTTTTACGCCGCTTTTAGCTACAGTCCAGCAACATCACAGCTGGGGACACGAGTAATGGGCTACTGACTTTGATGTAACTGTTCCTGTTGTCATTAATCTCTTGAAATGACACATGATGGATATGAAAAGCAACAATCTGCTACAGTAAATTAGTTTAGTAAAAGAGAACCAGAAAGACTGACCAGGTGCTAGCTGTGCAATGGCTGCCAGGAGATCATAGTTGATGACGGGGTGAGACTCCTGTACTTGCTCCCATCCGACAGGGGGGGATGCAGGAGGTGAGATGAGGAACTGCTTCTCCATGGGTGGGGGCTTCAGGTGTGGGGAATCCTCACAAGTCGTTTTGGCCTAAAACAATTCCATCCAGCATCAGTGTTAGTTCTGTTCCAACTGGAATTTCATATGCCGATCCTAGCATTACTAGCAACAAATGTACTTCATCCATCTTGATTTTATAGCACAATTGCTGACTTTAACACATTTTAAAGCGCCTTTAAAACACACTCTAATTTTAAATGATCGCTTACACTTTCTGTGCAACAAATGAAAGAAAAGAATTGTGTGCTTGGATGTCCCAATTATTTTGCACATGTGCAATATACTCTCAAACAGCTTAAAAAACAGAACAAAGAACACTATGCTTGCTTTTATGTTATAATGTTAACTTGGATACATGACACATCATGTGGTAATAATAAGAACTGTAACAAATATATTGGTCACGGTCAGGGCTTGATATTCATTGAAAATATATTCTATTCAATGTCTCCTGAAAAAACATTATCTACCAACTATGTTTGAATGCCACTAGCTCAATGTGAATAAGTGAGTGAGTGAGTTTAGTTTTATGCCGCTTTTAGCAATATTCCAGTAATATCACGGTGGACACCAGAAATGGGCTTCACACATTGTACCCATGTGGGGAATCGAACCCGCGAATGTTTTAACCACTAGGCTACCCCAGCGCCCCACTAGCTCAATGTGCAAGCATTCCATTCATCAATCATACGACATAAAATTATTGGCATTGTTTCAAAGGGTACATTTCAAAATAATAAAAGTAAAGTGTTTGTCCATGTTATTTACTGATACTGATAGTGAACAGTTGTCTCTCATAAGTCAAATCAAATGGTCCTCTAGTTTTTACAGAAAGAAATCCCAAAAGGAAATGTGTAAAGGTCATTTCCTGGGCAGTGCATCATCCCTTGTGGGCTGACTGACTGGTTCAGTAGGAATTGGACAGCAATTTCCAGGTTCAAACTTTTACTTGCCTTTGAATTGTTGGCCAGCATATTTGTTGATACCCGCTGGTCACAAAGACAGACAATGTCCAGTATGTGTTACTTTATATTTCACAGGTCTCAAAACCAAACTTACTGGTTAATGGAACGACTGGAGGACACACCACAATGTCAAGGGTGCTTATTTTCAGTTATGTATCAAGCTATGCACAAACAGTTACGTTTTATGGATGTCAAACATGTGACTGTAGTTGATTGGACCCTCAGAATTGAAATTATATGAAAGGCCAGACCAATTTTATTTCTTGTTTTATGGATTTTTGTCCTCAAAAAAACCTAAAGGCAGGAGGAAAAAAAATTAAAATAAAAAATAAATAAATACTAAAAGTATTTTACTTTTGGCAATTTATGAAGTGTATATGGGGCAAAAAAACAATCTAAAAAAAATATTTCTTGTAAATTTACAGTTTTGTTCAATAAAACATTAGGATTTTATTTTTTGAGTGGGGAAAATCAACTTTTATTTTTTTTCTTATTCTTGAAAACATATGAACGGCGGATCCGTAAAACAAGAAATAAAATTGGTCTGGCCTTATGGAAAGACTTATTTTCAAGATATATCACAAAAATTATCAGAAAGTAATACCATCTATCATTTATAAACACATTTTTTGTGTTTACTTAGTTCTATAATTTGGCCATTAAAGTTCCAAGGTGTACACATTGAACTTGCACTGAACTGACATATACATTTTGTATTGTCTTGCTGCTGTTTACCTGAGCAAAGTAACACTTGATGACAGTTCCAAGAAATTCAGCTTGATGCAGGTGTATTCGTGCTTTTGCTGCCAGCTCTGGACTGATAAAATTAATGCGAACTCTACGGAAGCTCTTGAGGTATTGAAAAGTCACACTTGGGTCAAATTCACAAAACAGGTTCTCAAACTGTTCCTGAAATACAGAAGAAGAAAAATTTGTAAATCGTGTAAATACAAACTTGCTCAATAACAAAATCTTCACGTCACAGAAGAAAGATTATTTCATTAGGAACTAGTTCTGTAAACAACATTATATGGACAGTAGTAACACAATGCCATTTTAGAAAGTGGTCAAATGTAACATATGTTATATTTGGGATTACACTTTCTTAGTAAAGTACAGATTCTAGTACTTTTTGGGTTGAGTCCAATCCGGGATTCGAACCCACACCCTCAGAGTCAGATGCCTAGACCGCTCAGCCACTGCAGCTTCCACTTGTGGAAGCCGTGGATGCTGAGCGGTCTAGGCGTCTGACTTTGTGTGCTGGCGATAAGGTGTCTGACTCTGAGGGTGCGGGTTTGAATCCCGGATGGGACTCAACCCAAAAGTACTAGAATCTGTACTTTACTAAGGAAGTGTAATCCCAAATATAACATATGTTACATGTACAGTAGAATGTAGAATGTTTTTCCCTGTTCATCATCTGCTTCGTAACTCTGTTATGTTGATCATCTCAGTAGGTTATTCCAGTTCATTAATTTCATTGATGATTAGCATTCAGGGACACAGAATATAGAAAGGGAAAGAAACTAATTAATAACTTTATCATGATTTTTCAGGTTTTTAATGTGTGGCAGATATCCGAGGTGAGGGCCTAACATTTTCTCTGCTCCACACATGGAAAACACTTTTTATTTGATGCTGCCAAGAGTTAAAGGATTAAACAAGGCTCATACAAATCTACTTGTATTCTCTCAGCATTTAGTTCTTTTACACAAACTGCCTTTGTTAAATGCTAGTGATAGAGACAGGCCCAAGGGTTACAGAGGCAAACCCCTTGGACCCATCTTAATTTTGAACATTGACTAGTCTGAAATGAGCTGTAAGTTTGTTGAATATAACCAATGATGCTGATTCCTGATCTAGATCTTTATGGAAAATGTACTTTGGTTAGCATTATCAACTAGTTTAACATATACAAGCCTATTCCCTGCCTATTCTTTTCGAAATATGATTTCGTTGTCTGATAAAATGCCTCTCTTTCTGAAGATCTGACAATCCCTCTCGAATGTCACATAAGATGAACTTTCAGCAATCAATGGCTGCTTTAGAGACATCCCAGTTAGCATTTGGACGCTGGCCCAATGTTGGCAATGTTGGCAAAACCATTGCCAACGTTGGGCCAACGTCTGAATGCTATCTGGGATGTAACTCGAAATGCATGGCTTATGAATGGATCAAAATATTTTGGTGGATGGTTTGGGTACAGGTAGCATATAAAATTCTATGAGATTCCTTAATGTACTCTTAACCAATGCTTCTAAAGTTTGATGCATGATCAGGTTGGATTTAGTAACATTTTTCCTGATGTATTATCAAACAGCAACAAAGTTGAAAAGTACATGCAGCTGTAAGCCAAATAAACATATTTGGGGTTTCATTTCCACAAGAAAAGCAAATAAAAAGCAATGGTGGCATGTGACATTATTATCTAATTATCCACAAATCGAAACCATCATGTTTCTTGCATCTAATCATTCTAATGACACACTGAGCTTTCTAGGTGTCTATATTGGGACAGTTTCGAGGCATAACTTTAGATAGCTCTATTTATGAAATAAGGGTAAATGTCCTTTCACACAAAACAACTTCGGACATAATGGATGTGGGCGAATGTGTGTGTCCTACCTTCATATAGAATTAGGCACCACAAGGAAAAGAGCAGTATACGTTCTGTCAAGTGTTAATTACTGTGAGAAGCCTTCAACACAAACATGACCACAGGGTGTGGCCGTCAAATTCTAGTGAATAAAATGACACTGTAAATAGTATATCAACATGAACACAATGTAAAATGAATACTGTCCTACTCCGTTAATACCTTCTCTAGCGGATCATCAAATACTCTTTCTTCAACATTTGTTGCTATGAGAGCGTCCGGTAAATCGCTGACATCGTCCGCCATTTTGATTTCCTCATGCGTCGCGACTAATCGCGGCATTCATACAAATGTGTGATGAATTAAAATGTATCCTCAACGGGTAAACAAGCCTATGGGTTATGTAAATATTTCTGTTACAGCTGTTCGTGGTACTCGAAAAATATATCGACACATTGACAGTCGCGCTACCATTGAAAGAGGTATCTATTTTTATCAAAGAGGGGGTTCCCGTGACGTCACCAATAGCGCCACCTACAGCAGGTAGTCTCATCAGATATTTTTGCAGACCGGACAACTCTCAACCAATGGCTCTTGTCACAGAATATTCAATCGAATATTATTAACTCAAGTCAAGAATCTTTAAAGTTAAAGTTTGTTAAGCTGAAACAAATTTGTTGGAAATTTTCTTTAGTAGTAATGATGTGATGCATATAAAACTTTAGAAGTCCTTATCTACAGAGTTAAATCACAGTTTAACAGGGGCAAGTGATATTCCTTTTTCTCACTGGTGTGAACAAGTAAGATACTTGAAGCCTATCAATACAACTACGTCCACCTCCAAGCCGTTTTCACATTTATGAAGGAATACTGATAGTTTCAATTGTTTTACAGATATCTTGAATGAAAATACTTGTAAATATCTTGAATAAATTGAGTGAGTGAGTATTCGCTTTAGCAATATTCCAGCAAAATCACGGCGGGGGACACGAATTGAATTGAAGACATCTGGAATTGAAGATATCTAGAATAGAGATGATTATAGATATCTCCAATAAAATTCATTGGTATAAAATTCAAGATATCTTGAAATGAATTAAGGATATCTCAAACAGAGATAATTAATGTGTTGAGATATTACTGATATCGTAATTTGTTTGTTCTAAGATATCTTGAATTGAACTGGATACATCTTGAAATGAATTAAAGATATCTTGAATAGATATTTTCAAAACGATTTCAAGATGTCTTCAAATAGTTCTGGCTACATATCTGTAAATACTGCCGGTTCTGTAAAGTACTGTGGGTATAATGTTTAGAATCATGGCGGGCGGTGCTGACGATTCCCAACAGGTTCTTGGTCGTATTCATTCCACAATGGGTGACATACAGCGTTTGTTGACTGAAAGCGCCGATGTTTCGCTAGCTAAACAATTCCTCCTGACTGCTTTATTCCACTTTACATCGTATATCGCCTAAAGCCCTTCAATTGGTTATGCGAAGTACTTGTTCGTCAGACAGCCAGTCCAGCAGCTGCTCAATTTATGCGAGAAGTGCGAGAAATTAGAATTGAAGGGTTTGAATTTGAGTTTGAAGGGTCAAATGCAACAATAGACTAACAACTAGTCTCAGAAATAACATATTTTACAGAAAAACAGCCCATAATAATAATAATAATAATAATAATAATAAAAAATATAATGAAAAGGAACCCTGAGACTTTCTTTATTTTCAGAAACTGTGGAAATCTAGAGTTGACACATATTCTAGACTTGCATGAACTGTCTTGGATATATTTGTTTCAGGGTCTGCATGACTGACTAATGCAACAAGTATGATCAACAATCAAAGAATTCGTGTCCAGTCTGGTAAGTACCGTTTAAGTTCCACGAGAGTCGCGCATTATGCACTAGGATATAGATAAAGTCCATGTGATTCGTGAGTATGTTAGGTTTTCCCTAAATTTATCTTTAATGTATAGTACAGAAATAAATATAGTTGTTTATACATGTATATTACGTTTCTGCATCTTCTTAACATATAGTTAATACTGTCTCATCTCATGGAGTTGTGCAATTTGTTTGAGGGTTTGTTTAGCATACAAGCCTAAATGCCTAAGAACGTTAAATCGGTCATCTCTACAGTCAGTAATATGTAGAAAATGTGTTTTCCCTTGACGAACAGTAAGCACTAAAGCCCATCCACTGAAATATCGTACAAAGGAATATGACACAGTTTCCTTGTGTAATTTACAGCTCTCATTTACATCATAATGGCCTACGTGTATATTATGTGATTGTGCTCCTGGTATAGGACTATAATGTACATAGATATACTATAGACTATACCGTTTTAAGTTAGTCTTGGTATATTACTCATGAAATCATGGTATCATACGATGCATATGTGAAAGCGCTGATACATTCTTGCAGGGATGCGCGGAGGACCAAGTGTCGATATGTCGACCAGCCAGATTGCATGTCTTCTGAAGAAGGGTTACACAGCTGCCAAAATAGCAAATAACTTTACTTGTTCAGCAAGCACCGTATGCAGCAAAATGTATTCCAACGGCATGTCGATGAAAAACAAATACACATATATTACCGATGAGGAACCCTCTAATTAAAGCATACCGTTCACGACGTCGTCTCCAGACTCTATGCCTACCGCCCGCGAATCTGAGGGTAAACCTGGATTCATCGCTAAAGACGACTCGATTCCAGTCTCTCTGGGTCCATCGGAGGTGACGTTGGGCCCACAGCAGACGTTGACGACGAAACGGCGTCAATATTGGCCCACGATATGGACGTCGAGAATGGAGATTGGCAGCCCGCAACCCATTTCGAATGGTCTGTGAGGACAGTCGACCTCTAAACATCTCAGCCCTGGTTCGTGTAGCCGGCAGAAATCTGTCACGTAGGTGACGTAGGACGATTTGACGGTCTTCTGCTCGTGACGTCACATGTGGACGACCCGACCTTGGGCGATCAGAAGTGGTGCTAGTTTGTTGTAGACGACCTCGCAAGTCATACACAGTGCGACGGCTGCATCCCATTGCTCTTGCGACGTCAATAACTGATCTTCCCGCTTGCAACATGCCAACGGCACGTTCACGTTGCACATTTGACAATATGGCACTTCATAAAAAGTGTTTTTTCAATTCTTGAGGCCAATGCAAACACGTGCATATGAAGAAAATTTCGATGCGAAGATCACGTGATCGACTGCACGTGCAAAACCTGATTTGGCACTAACGTCATTTGCACGACGAATGGATGGGTTTGAGTGGGTTTTGCTAACGTTTTTCTAGAGTCGAAAGATAGGGATCCCATTTCGGATACATAGATGTATCATCAGAGAAAAATTATTCATTATTTTTCAAATTACATTTTGTGAAGTTTCCTTTTTGACTCAGTATATAATAGCGATAATGAGTTCATGTTAATAATCTTCTACTTAAAACATTATATGTAAATGTGATCACACTCCTTATACAAATATTATTGCTGCTTTACACAAACAGTATAGCAATATCTGTGGCATGAACACGAATAGGGTGATGTCCATGATGCAGTTACATACCTCTCATCACAAACTATACTACTGTATATTGCAGTTGGTTCCCCCAAGTTAGTGTAGAAACTCATCTTCGATGTAACCATATATACTCTTCAAAAAAAGAAACTTGACATGTTGTTTTAGAGTTTACTTACTAAGTCCATATAACTGAGTCAAACATGACATCATTGCTCAGTTACAGTAAAATCATCACTTTACAAATTTCCAAAACATGATTATACAGAAAGTGTTTGATAAAACCACAGAGGGCTATTAAAGAACCACTAAACTTTGTTTTTGTTACTCTTTTAGCCATTACATATGAAAGATTTGTGGTAAGTCTTATGCGGAACACCAAATTTATTCTTTAAAAACTTGTGGTTAATTAATACCGAGCGATTAAAAGTTGCCAAAAGGTCGCCTGCTTCCCTCTCGCCCGCCAACGAAACCACAGACAGGTTACGTAACTCTGTCGCCAGAGCACTGCAGTGACGTCATATGAGGAACGATTTTCAGTTAGTTGTATAGAAAGTGTGTAGCAAGCTCATCATTTTGATGATTTCTCAACATCAACGAAGACATGCCGAATCGTTGGGTTGTCGTCAATTGCTACTAGGGGTCGGGCAATGGTGTCGCCATGCACAGATATCCACAGGACCCCGTGCTAAATGGGCTATGTTTGTGAGTGCGAAGGGAGCGTTGTGGAAGCCTGAAACGATATCTTACTTGTGTTCAGATCGCTTCACGGAAGTTAAAGAATCAAAACTACTTACCAGTTGTAGTAAAATATGTATATGATTGATGAGCATAAAGATTTTCTATGACACAACTTGTAACATAACGATTTCTTCCTCGGATGTGAGGTTGTGGTCGAAGTAACAATAATATTGTAAGTAGTATTATATTGACACCCACCTCGCTGCCAGGAGAGAAATTGTTATGTTATAAGCTATGTCATGCAAAATCCTATTGACCATCAATCAAATACATATTTTACTACCAGTAGAAAAAAGTTTTGATTTTGTAACTCGGTGAAAACAAACCTAAATAGTATTTATCCTCAGACTGGCGGATGTTCGCGACAGGACGCCGCCATTTTTGAAAATCGTAAAGTGACGGGCTAAAGTCTTTTAGAATTAATGAGATTATGGTTTGATTTCATCAAGTAAGAAAATCAAAACTACTTTCTACTCGTAGTTAAATATATATTTGAATCATGACCAAAAGGATTTTGCATGACACACCTTATAACATAACGATTTCTTCCACGGAAGCCAGGTGGGGGTCGAAGTCACAATACTGCGCGATAAATTTCTTGCTACATTCACATGGTTAATGTCCACTCACCAGTATGTAGATACTAGTCAATGTGCGTCTTTATATTTGGTCTTATAATCCTAATAAGTTTATTATCATACTTGTATGCATTTTGAAACTAAATAAAAAGCAGACGATCTGCTGATACTTATAGTGAATTTATAACAGGACTGTAATATCTAGACATTTTATAGTTTGCCAATGTGAATCATAATTCGCACACACGCCCTAGTGTATGTTGTCTATTTCATTACACTTCTCGGCGAAAACAATGATTCTGTTGAATGCTACGACAAATGAATAAAAACAAATGCAAATATTAAATTAAAACAGATTAAAGTTATAGGAACAATGTCAGGCTATTACCTTGTTCGAGGAATGTATCCATCAATATCCCCGAAAAAAGTGATATGTCATTCATCTGCAGCTGTTCCAAGTGATGTGTCTTTTAACAGTCTAATATACGAAAAGGTTACATATCGTTTCAGGTATTTCACATTGGTGTATAGTCACATTGGTCACCAAAGATAGCACACCTGGCAACTAATTGCATAATGTCCGCCTTTCTTTAAAAAAGGTAATTTAGTTAGCCAATAATGAGCAATCAATGTATTGGCGGTTGATCCTTGAAAGAAGGACGT